CCCCAAAACCCCAAAACCCCAAAACCCCTTGATATTTGATGTCTGAAACATGAGTTAGAATGCTTAAAACATTAATTCTTGATAATGATATAAATCCTAAGCTTCCCATATTTAATTAAAAGGTTATAATTATTGCTGATTTATTAATGGCAACTTTGGAAAACAGTTTAAATTCCCCTATTAATCACCATGATTTTCAAACGCCTATTGTCTAGCCTAATAAAAATGAATTTATCTGACTTTAAGATGACAATTACAACTAAAAAAGTAATACCATTAAAATCAGAATTAGTCCTTTAGAAATATTGATGTTTATATTTTAATATAGAGATCGATTTGTAGCTGGATATGTTTGGGCCCCCAACCCTTGATGATAACAATATTTCCAACTTTGACTAGAGTTTCGCCCCTGTATTACATAACTCGAGAAATAACTTGGTGAATGACAGCAAATAATCGCACATTGCAATAGGAGATAATCTGCAATCGGTGACCACAAGGTCTCGATCTTAGGTAAAAATGTAAAAAGTCGACTCTTAAACTAACAAATAAAATTTGTTTGGAAATTTCAACTAACCAAAAGTCAATAAGCGGGACAAAGAATAAATAGAAGATGGATTGGCAGATAACTCTTCTATATCAATAGAAGAGGCTGGCTCACCTCTTTAGAAACTGCAACTTGCAACAATAGACACAGCTAATAATGATTTGATGAGCACTTCAAATAATTAATAAAACAATCAGTTTCTAGCAAATGAAATAAGCAATAGAGGTAAAACAGGTCAGTTGAGTGAGTTTTAAGAGCACCTCATAGTTTCAGGCTAAAAATATGTCATCTAAGAGGAAAATGAAGAAGATTTAAGAATAGAAATCTAAAAATCAGAAAACCATAGGAAATTCCTGGTTGAGGAGATTACTCCCAATCGCTATAACACTGGCAGGTTCTCGGTAGTGGAAGTTGTGCAGGATCACCAAACTAATAATGAGATACAGGAAGATATATAGAACTTTGAGTTGAACTATATCAAGGACGAGTCTATAAAAATCGAATAGATCTAATCTTAAGATATAGGCCACGAGTTTCCAGCGAATATCTTTTAACAGAAATAGCTTCTCAAATAAAACACAGCCATTAATGAAAGAATCCAGTAGCATTAAAATTTATCATTCACTTAGAGTCAAAATGCAATGACATCACAGTAGAATAATAATCAAGAGAGATTTTAGATGAGCTAAAGTCATTAGTCAGATGTTAATCTGATTAGCCAAGATAAAATGATGAGCAGCAAAGAGTAAAATTCTGGCAAAGAAACCAATATTCCTACTATTGCAGGATTGTTAAAACCGTTTCCTACAAAAAAATAATCTAAATCAAATGTAAATGTAAATGGGCTTGTTAACTCAGTAAACAGTCCTAAGAACTAGGACACTTCTCGAAATCTCCTAGATAGTGCTATATAGGTCGAAGAAAGCAAAAAATTCATTAATTCATAGTTAAGCATGCAGAAAAATGACGGTCAAGTAAAGAGGTGCTATTCAGATGTAACTCATAGAAATTAAACATAGAATACTAGAAATGCTAACCTTTTCGAATCAAACTCAGAATTCTCAAAAAGATTTAGAATAATGAATAAAACATCTAGAGCAGAAGGGGATAATCTAAAAAATTAAACAATTAAAGATGAGTTAAATTTCTAGCCTACAGGGCTTCACATTACAAATAATAATAGATTTTCCACAACTGGTTTAGGAAGTGCCAATTTTTATTCCACTTAGCAGGAGCTACTTCCCAATAAACTTAAGACAAAAAAGTTTAATTCAGCAAACGCTGCAAATATGAATAAAAGAGACAAGGCGAAATAAAGATGGAGTAAGTTAAATAATGTACTTAGGACTATCAGTTTGCTACAGAGGCATAGGACTAAAATCATTAATGATCCAGTAAGTGTCATGTCAGTTTTAATATTTTTATTAATAGGAGGATATATTAACTGAGATTAACAATTTCCCAACGAGATCAAATACTAACAGATAGAAATCATCTAGACCAATTCACAATGATTTTGAGGACAAATTGAGATGCGAGAAATTCTTTAAATACATTTCAATGTAAGCCATTGAATGCAACATTAATTTTTAGAGGGGGATAAGATGGGATTCAAAGAATAGATAAGATGATTAACGATGACCCGAAAAAGCACATGCACAATATTGAGTCTAATTATCACATACTCAACAGGTGAAATGCCTAAAGATAAACTCCTCTATATGTTGCAGCAAAGCATGGGCACCTAGATGTTGTTTAATTCCTTTTAGCACAGGGAGCGAATCCTCATATGCATTCTTTAGTTTCCCCATTCGAGTCAGAATCTTTATTAGAAGTGAGTACAAGATGGTCGCATGTTCAAATAGTCAATTATCTACTTCTAACTATTAATTGGAGCAAGACGGATATTAAATGTGCTTATCGACACATTATATTTGAAGAGAGTACTAATGCCTGCAAGCGCATGCTGAAGGAATACTCTCGGCTGCATTTCGGCAAAATTTACACATTCTTCACTCTTTCAAGAAATTGTTTATGCTGTCTTCCTCCACCAGGTCAAATAAATGAGAATTTACTGCAATGACTTGCAATATAATTACTTACTCATATTGTCAAAACTGAGCTATAATCTCATTAAATCAACATCACTCATATTTTACTTTGTAAAGTCATTATTCAATATGAGTATGATTGATTGTAAATCCTATTATAAATGAGATTAAGAGTTAGTTATCCAAAATTTAGTCAAATTATATTAACTATTTTACCATATTAATTAAGTTAAGAAATAAATAACTACGTAAGTTCTCTCACAATAATCAATGTCTTATACTCGGGGTTTTGGGGTTTTGGGGTTTTGGGG